GGCACGTAAAAGCAGTTTTCTCTTGATCCTCTGGTGCCACTGGAATTTGATTATAGTCGAAATAACCATCTAAGAAGCAATAAAAATCATGCCCGGCTAACCTTTCTAGCATTTGATCATTGAAAGGAAGGGAAAAATGATCCTTCCTTGTAGCATCGTCCAATCTCCTGTAGTCCACACACATCCTCCACCCAGTAATGATTCTGGTGGGAATTAACTCATTCTGCTCATTCCTCACAATAGTCACTCCTCCTTTCTTTGGAACTGTCTGTACTGGACTCACCCATGCAGTGTCAGAAATTGGGTAAATCATCCCAGCATCCATGAGCTTCATCACTTCCTTGTGGACTACTTCCTTCATGGTGGGGTTTAGTCTCCTCTGAGGCTGCCTCACTGGTTTGATATTGTCTTCCATGAGAATCTTGTGAGTACAGAAAGAAGGGTTGATGCCCTTCAAGTCAGAAATAGATCACCCAATGGTTGCCCTGTGCTCTTTGAGCACTTCTAACAGCCTCTCTTCTTCATCTGTAGACAACGCTTTATTTATGATGACATGATATTGCTCTTCATTTCCCAAGAAGGCGTATTTCAGAGTCTCAGGTAACTCCTTCATTTCTGTTTTTGGTGCCAAAGTAACTGAGTCATCTTCTTTCTTTTCTAGCACTTCAAACACAACATCTTGCTCTTCTTTTGGAGTAGCTTCATCTTGAGAATTCAACTCTTCTCTAAGCTCTTGATTGTCAAGCTCTTCCTCTTTGAACACTTCTTCAAACACTTCAAGTCTGAAGCAATCATTCTGATCAGATGTGTTCTTCATAGCATCAAAAACATTGATGGTTATTTTCTCATCATTCATCCTCAGCTCGAGCTTCCCTTGTTCCACATCAATCATGGCTCGAGTTGTGGCCAAGAACGGTCTACCCAACAGAATGGGTATTTCACTTTCTTCCTCTATGTCTAGCACAATAGAATCAGCAGGGAAGATGAACTTGTCAACTTTAACAAGAACATCTTCTATGATTCCATTAGGCCTCCTCAAATAACGGTCAACAAGCTGTAGAGAGACCATGGTTGGCTTCAACTCAGAAATTCCCAATGATTTGCATATTGACAATGGCATCAGATTGATGCTTGCTCCAAGATCACATAATGCCCGGCCAACATTAGTGTTGCCTACCGCAATTGGGATGTTGAAACTCCCAGGATATTGAAGCTTTGGTGGGAACTTCTTCTGTATAATGGCACTGCACTCCTCAGTAAGTGCTACTATCTCACAATCCTGCAACTTATGCTTTCTAGACAATAAATCTTTCATGAATTTAGCATAGTTAGGCATATTAGCTAAAGCTTCAGCAAAAGGAATATTAACTTGCAACTTTTTAAACATATCTATAAACCTGGCATATTGTTGCTTCTTTGCTTGTTGCTTGAGCTTCATAGGATAAGGAGGTTTCTCAAAACAAGAATAATCCATCAGTGTTACTAGGGAAATTACCTGGAGTTCTATCAGAAACTTGCTTGGCCAGCTGGCCAATTTGATTCTCCAAATTTCTGATGGAAGCACTCATATTTCTGGTATTAGCCCTAGTCTCTTCCATGAAAGCATTTGTGTTCTTTGTATTGGCTCTAGTCTCCTCCATAAAGGCATTGGAGCGCTGAGCCATTTGTCCAACTAATTTCTCCAAATCAGAAAGTTCCTTCTGTGGAACAGGAAGAGGTTGCAGATAATTTTTAGAACTGTAGTCAAGACCACCTCCTTGACCTCTCTTCTGAAAATCACTTCCAGAAGAAAAATTCTGATTTCTTGAAAAATTTTGTTGGGGCTTCTGTTCATACCAAACCCCATTCACTTGCAACTGCTGTGGATTGTCACCCATTAGAGTGGGACACTCATTAGACTCATGCGCTTCCTTGCAATATTCACACATCACAGAAGTTGATTGAACCTTGGACACTTGTATTTTCTCAAACTTCTCATTCAAGCTGTCAAACTTCTTGGACAAGAGCTTTTGTTCAGCAAGCATCGCATCATTGTTTTCCAGCTTTATCACCCCCCTTTTTATTTGAGCTGGTATGCTCTCATTCTCATTCCTTGCCAGCTTCTTTATCAAATCAATGGCTTGTTCAGAAGTACTTTGCCGAATAGAACCTCCAGCTGCACTATTAATCACCAACCTTGTTTCAGGAGAGATGCCATTAAAGAATATTGCCACCTTTCTGTCATCGTCTCCTTCATAGTGCGGACACTTCCGGATGAGTTCCTGGAATCTATTCCAGGTTGCACACAGTGATTCTCCTTCAAGTTGGCGGAAGTTTGTGATTTCATTCACCAGCTGATTGTATTTTTCCATAGAAAAGAAATGAGCAAAGAACTTTGATGACAAGTCTTCCCATGTTGTGATACTATTAGCTAGCTGCCTTTCTATCCATCTGAGAGCTTTTCCATTAACAGCAAAAGGGAATAATCGAAGCCTTACAGCATCAGCCGACACTCCGTTGTGCTTGGTAGTGTCACAGATCATCAGAAATCGATCTATGAACTCATGAGGATCTTCCTCCTCAGCACCAGAGAACTGAACCCTTTCCACCAAAGTAATCAAAGATGGCTTCAGCTCAAAATTATTTGCCTCCACCGTCGGCCTGATTATGCTTGAATTTGGCCTATTTAACACCGGAGTCAGAATGGTGTCCAACAATCGTGGAGGTGGGTTATTTTCATTGTTGTTACCCGCCATCTCTTGTATTTGTTGAACAGGTTCTCGAATGAAATCTTCCCAAATTAATTGCTTGGCAACTTTCCTCAGTCTCCTCTCAGTCCTTGTAATTTCAGGATCAAATACAAAGTCTTTAGGAGCAAGTCTACCTCGCATAAAACTCTGAAAAATTTGTTAGTAGCACCTGTAGAACACAAAACAAGATAAAACAAAATAAATAAATAAATAAATAAAAATACAAATCCAATCTCAAAGATCAACGGTTATTGGTAATATTGGAATTAGCAATCCCCGGCAACGGCGCCAAAAACTTGATGCTCTCCGGCAAGTATACCGATCGCACAAGTAATATAATGAGTAAGTAAAGTATCGTCTCCACAGGGATTGTAAACCAAGTACTACAATAACCAGTCCCCTTAAGTTGGAAAACTGGGTTTGTTGTTTGAAAAAATTGCGAATTGACTTTTAGTAACTATAAGAAATAAAAGTAAAGACTTGTTTTTGAATTTTTATTTAAGAGAAATAAAATAATAACAATGAGAATTGATTTTAAAAAGATGAGAAAAATATTGTAGCTAGAGCGCACTCACCTTATGATCCTCACTTCTTACTTTGGATTGATTCACAATATTTATTCATATAATTACTCGGATAAATTATTATCTAAAAATATTTATTAGTTAGCCCTCAATTCCTTGCAAGGTTAACCCTTTAATCCCCAATTGGAACCCCAATTCCTGGCAATGTTCCTCATGGTATTAAGCAATGAACGCAATAATTTAAGCATCCGCAATTAAATACACATCTATTCCTAGCATGCATACCAATTGTTGTCCTACCCCCTTTCAAGATCAAAACCCCAATATTCCTATCTAGGGTTCTAACCCTCAAACTATCCCCAACTATCAGATTGATCAGTTCTAATAAAGGAAATAGAAAATACTCACAAGGTAGAGACAAAGATAATTATATAAATGAATAAAACTAAATCAATCCATCGTAACAAGAGTTCACATAGGGCTCGTGACCCTAACTACAATAAAAGAAAACTAGCCAAGCATAATCATGACTGAAAATTCAATATTCGATAAAAGCATAAAATTACAGAGAAATAGATGAAGAAGAAGAACTGTGGAAGAATCTCCTGAGCTCTGCCGTCGGCCTCCTCTGAATGGAATTAGATGATCTAGGTCTAGCACAAGGATCCTATTTATAAACTTATTTTTTCCTTCTTCCAAAAATACCCCCGCGGAAAGACGGTGTTATTTTCTCGCAACCCGGCGCCAGTTGGCGCCGGTTTGGCGCACGTTTGCGCCAACTTGCTGCCTCGAATACGAAGAATCGCACCTGATTGCGTAACCTGGCGCCAAGTGGCGCCATTCTCCTTCAATATTGGCGCCAAGTGGTGCCACCATCTTTGTCTTTTTGGGCGCTGATGGGCGCCATTCTTCTTCAATATTTGGGCGCCTAATGGCGCCATGTTCTTCATGATTGGGCGCCTAGTGGCGCCATGCACAAGGCCTCCGCTGCAAAGTTCGCAATCTGGCGCAGGTTTGCGCCAGTGTGCTGCCAACTTGCGCCAAGTCTCTGGTAGTTGTATTGTGATACATTTGTGCGTGTGCAGTCGCGTCAACAGGATTTTTATAATTTTTAATTTTCACTCCTCTTTTTCCTGTAAAAACATAACCAAAAGGTGAATATTATTGACATAGAAAGAATCAATATAAATAGCAAATATGTATTTAAATTGCTCTCTTATGACTCAATTCTTATCAATTTTAACATGGAAAAAACACACTTGCCAGAGGCACATCAATCACATAATGCCCGGCCAACATTAGTGTTGCCTACCGCAATTGGGATGTTGAAACTCCCAGGATATTGAAGCTTTGGTGGGAACTTCTTCTGTATAATGGCACTGCACTCCTCAGTAAGTGCTACTATCTCACAATCCTGCAACTTATGCTTTCTAGACAATAAATCTTTCATGAATTTAGCATAGTTAGGCATATTAGCTAAAGCTTCAGCAAAAGGAATATTAACTTGCAACTTTTTAAACATATCTATGAACCTGGCATATTGTTGCTTCTGTGCTTGTTGCTTGAGCTTCATAGGATAAGGAGGTTTCTCAAAACAAGAATAATCCATCAGTTTCTTTGGAGCTTCAACATATTTTTCCTTTGCCTCTTCTTTTTCTTGCTTTGCAGGCTTTTCTTTCTCACTTGCAGGCATTTCCACCTCTTTTCCATGCTCTGGCTCAATTTCTGGTTCATCAAATTTCTTTTTCTAAACCACTTTTGGCTTGTCTTGAGGAGTAATAACAATTCCACTTCTAGTTAAAATGGATTTGCAGTCTGCCTTAAGATTCACAATAGTATCTCCAGGAAACTGCCCTTGAACTCTTTCAGCTAACTGTCTAGATAACTGACCTATCTGAGTCTCCAAATTCTGGATGGAAGCATCTTGGTTCTTGTGATAAGCTCTTGTCTCATTCATGAAGGCATCAGTATTCTGCATGTGATCATTTGTAGTCTTGGCAAGCTGCAGCATTGCCTTCTCCAACTCTGATGGCTCTTTATGTGGAAGAGAAGGAGGTTGCAGGTAATTGTTGGATTTATAATCCAAGCCTCCCCCTTGATTTCTCCTCTGAAAGTTGCTCACTTGGCTGCCATTCTGATTCCTCTGGTAACTTTGGGTATTCTGTGGTGGCCTTGGATCATACCACACTCCATTGACTTGGAATGGTTTAGCTCCATTGAGTGTCGGGCACTCATTAGTATCATGCGGCTCTTTGCAGTACTCACAGTTGAATACATTAACTTTAGTTGTTGAGATCTGCATTTTATCTAGCTTGGTGTTCAAACTGGCTAGCTGTTGAGAGATCGCCTTTTGCTCAGCTAGTGATGCATCATTGCTCCCCAATTGTAAGATTCCTTTCTTGGGCTGAACAGGTTGGGCAGTCATAGATGCATTTTCCTTCCTTGCCATAAAATCAATCAGCTCTAAGGTTTGAGCTGCTGTCTTCTTCCCTATGGTTCCACTGGCTGCACCATTGACAACCATTCTGCATTCTGGTGTCATCCCATTATAGAAGACTCTGACTTTCTTTCCCTCCGGCAAGTCATATTGTGGGCATTTTCTGATCAACTCCTGGAATCGGGTCCAGGCTGCACATAAGGTCTCTTCTAGTTGTTGAGTAAAATTGGTGATTTCATTCACCAACTTATTGTACTTTTCCATGGAAAAGTGCTCAGCAAAGAATTTGGCCGCTAACTCGTCCCATGTGCGGATACTATTAGGAGCCTGTCGATCTAACCATTTGAGAGCTCTCCTGGTCAAAGCAAACGAGAACAGTCGGAGTCTGATTGCATCATCTGTCACTCTGTTGTGCTTAGTTGTATCACAGATCCTTAAAAATCTGTCTATGAAGTCGTGAGGATCTTCATAGTCTTCCCCACCAAACTGAGTTTTCTCCACCAACGTGATTAGTGATGGCTGCATGTCATAGTTATTGGCATTAATTGGTGGCTTGACAATGCTCGAGTTTGGCCTTGTGAATTGTGGGGCCAAGACTGACTCCATCAACTCCTCTGCCGGTGGATATTGAGCTGCCATCTCTGTTTCTACTACAAATTATGGAGTAGAAGTTTCTGCTTCAAAACGTGAAGTAGAAGTCTCTTCTTACCTCTTCTGCTTGGTAAGTTGTCTTAATCATTTTGCATTCCTTTCTATCTCTGGATCGTAGATCAAAGTTTCAGGATCAACTGTACCACGCATATACTAAAGCAAACATATTAGTAACACAAAATCCAATCAATAAAATAAAAAGTTATAAATAAACTTAGCGTAGTCAATCCCCAGCAACGGCGGCAAAAACTTGTTCCGTAAAATCGGCAAGTGCACCGATCGTACCAAGTAATAAAGAGTGAGTAGAGTATCGTCTCCACGAGGATTGAGGCACCTAAGTTGTTATAACTATTCCTCTCTTGTTGGATTAATCAAAATAGGTTGAGAACAATTGTGGTTCATGAAATAAACTAAAACAATTAAAGAAAAAATGTAAATGATTCCAAAAATGCTTTCAGAATGCAAGAACAAAAAGATTAAGGATAGAGAAAATATTTGAGAAAATATTGCGGTAAAGAGAAACAAACACATTTTCAATCCCCACCTTGCAACTTGGATTACGTTTACATTTACCTATTCAATTGATCAAACGATTCATCATCTTTTATATGATTAGTTAAGCCATAATCCCTTAGTGACTTTAACCTTATTAACGCTATTAGAATCCTAATCCCTTAGAAATCCCTTTTCGAGTTAACCCTAAAATTCAATGAATCTTTAATGTTTGCGGTTCATGTAGCCTATCCCTAGTGCGTACATGAACAATTATCTTACCCTTTGTCAGGAATTAGAATTCCAATATCCCTATTGAAAATCCTAACCCTCGCAATCCTAATAGATTGATCAGTTCCAAAAGAATTATGTAATGAAGAACAAGACAAGATAAATTCAATTTAAATAAATAAACATAAACTTCAACCAAACTACAAGGGGTTCACATCAAGGGTTGTGACCCTTACCACAATTATAAAACTAGCCAGACATAACAATATCAAGAATGAAAGACAATATAAAAACTCCCCCAAACTCCATAGATGATTGGTGAATCTTCAATATCCCCAATGCAGACTTGATGTTGATCCGTCTCCGCCGCTCACGAACATGAACCGAGTGTTTCTCCGCGTTCCCTCTGCCTCCGAGCACCAAGAGTTCTCTTAGAATATCAATAATTCAGATTCTGAACCCCCAAATGTGTTTTTAAGGGTAAAGAATTCGTGCCCTAAGTGGATTCCTCAAGTGGGCTTAAGTTGGATCTTACGGGGAGCTTAAGCTTGCTCATTCGCGCTTAAGCTTGCTGATTTACGAATGCAGAAGTAACGTTTGCTCTTAAGCTTGCTGAAGCGAGCTTAAGCCTGCTCTTCGCGTCTGAAATTCTTCCTTGGCTCGAGCTTAAGCCTGCTGGAGCGAGCTTAAGCTTGCTTTTGCGGATCTAGCAAGTGTACTAGTCGTCAAGTAATAAAATGATGAGTAAAGATCGTTCCCACGAGGATTTGTGTCAAACACTGACTAACCATATGTACTTGAGTTGAATCAAACAAAAGTTCATAGATTGCATAGATTTCTTGTCACCAGAAACTACACTGAATTAAATTAAAAGTTGATAAATAAATAAATGTAAATTATAATGTAAACAAGTAGTCAAATGTCATTTTCCCTCAAACATGAATTTATAGATGAACCAATTTCCATTATGAATTATCTACTATGTGATGTTGATCAACCTTTTTCTTATCATCTCAAGATGTAATCCCTTACTACCCCGATAGACACATTAATCAGAAACCCCAATCCCTTGGTGATTCCTTTCTTAATACATGCATTAATTACTAAGGTCTTAAGATCACATCAAAATCCTAGCATAAATCCCTTGACTACTAGAACACTGATGATGAAGTTGTCAAAAATAGAGAAACAATGTAAACATATCTGTTCTACACTATTCCTCAACATGAAGAATTAATCAAGACAACTTCATACAATCACATAATAGATAAACAAAACATCTAATTAACCATTTATAAATTCAAACTTGAGTTCCATTGAATCAGACTACAAAGGACTCTCCTAAGACATAATTGAAATACAAACAAGAGAAGAAAGATCAAACTCCATTGACATGATAGTTGAGTCTTCAATCTCCAAGTGCAATTACATAGGAAATACTAACTATTACAAGAACTAATCCTAAGAATTTGGAAATTCAGAGAAAATGAGGAGTCAGATCAAATCTATGAAACACCTGATCTGATCTCTCTTCTCCTAGTGTGATGAGAAAAGTCAGCATGAGATATGATGGATTGGATCTGATCTTCATCTTGTAAAGGCCCTTTGTCCTTTTATAATTTACAAATTATAACAGAAATTTAATATGAACGCTAAAACGTTCAGAATGAGCGTTTTAGCGTCCATGCTTGACGGATGCCCAACTGCTTTCAACTAACTTGAACGCTAAAACGTTCATGAATGGCCGTTTTAGCGTCTATGCCTTGTGAATGCTCAACTGTCCTCAACTGACTCCACCGCTAAAACACTTGGTTTGGACGTTTTAGCGTTGGAGACCAGAGGCTTTTTCTAACATCAGGGCGCTAAAACGTCCGTTGAAGGAAGTTTTAGCGCCCAAGACCAGCAACTTTTCATCCTCGGAATGCAGAAGCGCGCTAAAATGTTCTGTATGGATGTTTTAGCGCTCAGCACCAGCAAGTTTTGGCCTCTTTAGGACGTTTTAGCGCTCAACACTTAGGCATTTTTCTCCTCTTCAAAATCTCCTTCCTTCTCCAGTTGCCTTTTTAGCTTGCTTTTCCTACAAGAACAATACAAATTCTCAATAAAGCTTCTTGAACTTGTAGTTGAGGAAATTCTAAGATATTAACCTCTTTTTCCATCATTTAATCACACAAATTTATACTAATTCATGCTCAAAAACCTGATGAACTAAGGGTTCATCACAATTCCCAGATTTGAACATTGTTGTTCTTAGCAATGAATTAAAACAAAGAAGGACTTGAGATTCTTTACAGATGAAATTCATGAGGATGGACTTCAATTAACAAAAGATCAACATTTCATGATACAAAATTATAACCATGCAATCTCTTATTTCCTATGATTTGCCCAACATCATTTGTGACTTTTCAACAGATCAGTAAAGATGATATACAGAGACTTCCAAACAACAACACCCCCTCACTAGGAACTTCTCAAAAATTATGAGAATTTGACTCTCTTCCACTCTAGTGTTTAAGGGTGTACTTATCACTCACTCTTCACTGCACTCAAACTGCCATAGGCTTGCCCATCTTCTCACTATTCATAGTAACAATGATCCATAAGGTAGATCAAAAAGGTTTTGGTATGATTAGCAATGAGGCTTGGTGTGTGGCTTGACTAGAGGTAAGGATTTCTGTGAAAGGGAAAGTTCAGATCAAATGAATCAGATTCGGATAAGAGGGAATTCACAATAATTAATCAATTTCTTCCTGATTCCCTCAACTTTATTCCTTTTCATTCCTTGTTCTTTTCTTTGATTGAACCTTTCTTCCTCATTTTCTTCCGGACACTTTGTGTCTTTAACAAAAATAAAATAAAATTTCTTTTTCTTTCTTTTTCTTTCAGACACTTTGTGTCTTTAATACTTCCCTCTGTCTTTTCCAAACACTTTGTGTTTCACAACCTTTTCTTTTTTTTCCTTCTTTCTTTCTTATGTTTCCAACACCTTGCATTCACTTATTGCAAAAACACTTTCCTCCCCACAGAACACTCCATCCCTTATCACTTATCTGAAACTTTTAATCTGAAGGATTGGAATAAATGTGGTTCTTGGCTTGATAAACAACATGGTAGGCTCAAGGGTTTCATGCAATGGAAATATTAAGGTTGGTCATTTAAACTTTCTGGTTCAAGAAGGGAATGACTCTACCCTACACATCATCAATCATTTCAAACAAGAAACAAGGCAAGTTCTAGAGTTACTCATGCAATGAAGTGCTCTCTGAACAAAAATATTCTGTATAGGCTCAATTTCCTCACAGTTCAGAGCGCATGCTTGACTTTCTCTATATGTATCAAAACTAATCTTTCTACTCTTACACATTGAATGAGTCATGCAATCATTTCATTTAAGCTCAACATGCAAGGTATAAGATTGTATCCTTTAATTTGATCAATCATATAAAACTTTGATCAGTCAAATCCTCATGAAATTCCATATCAAAACTGAAATCCAAATTCAATATTATAGCTAAAATCTAAATCACACAGAAAACTTAAAAAAGAAAAAGATTGAGATATTTCCCTGTTTTGACTCATCAATTGGTGTGACATCTCCTTGAAGTTTGCATGCCATTCAATCACACCTAATTCCCAGATTTAAATGTTGTTGAGCCCAGCAACTAATTTAAATTGAAAACAGCAATTGATCACTGAAACACATTCATATATAAACCAATAGCATCAGTACTATCGCAATGTGCATCATGCAAAAAGCAGCAATTATCCCAATGTACTTAACTGAATTACAAAAGTAAACTAACAGCAAAATAAAACTAAGAGAAAACTACCCAGAAACATGTAAATCATATGAGTGGACCAGCGCTAAAACGTTGAAATCAAGCGTTTTAGCGCTGGTCTCCAGAGACATGTGCAAATTGATGTGCGTTGCATCGCGCTAAAATGGTCACGTCTGAACATTTTAGCGCTCTGGACTAGAAAGAACAAAAATTCACACATAAATTTAAATTGCTGAAAAATAAAAGATTCAATCTCAAATATCAATGGTGTCTGTCAATGTTGAAGAACAAATCCCTGGCAACGGCGCCAAAAACTTGTTGCGGATCTAGCAAGTGTACTAGTCGTAAAGGTAATAAAAAGATGAGTAAAGATCGTTCCTACAAGGATTTGTGTCAAGCACTGACTAACCATATGTACTTGAGTTGAATCAAACAAAAGTTCATAGATTGCATAGATTTCTTGTCACCAGAAACTACACTGAA